TTGAAATTTTTGATTTTTTGCTTTTTTCTCACTTTAAAGATCGTGACTTCCATATGAATATGTGTGTTGAAGAAAATGAATTCCTCGTAAATGGTTCTCACTTTTGTTCCTAAATGAAAAACCAACTTTTTTTTTCTCATTTCTGGTTTGTAATCCGCTTTGGAAGCAAACTTGTCCCAATAGAAAAATGAAATTGTGTTACCAAACGGGTTTGTCCAAAACCGATTCAACAAAAATCGCTTCTGACAGAACGAGAATGGTTTTCATGCAAAGACCTAAAAACTAAGAGACCTGACCTATATCTGACCAGGTATGAAGAATTGCTTTTCATCTCTAAGAAATCATTTATATCAAAGAAATTTCCCCTAACCTAAGAGAGACCATATTCAAACGAGCTACATTGGCAGGAGCGATAACTAGAGTACTAGAGCCAAGGAGCTAGAGACTGGAGTGTTTAAGTAATGAGGGGAGCAATGGCTTCGAAATAAACGGATCTCACTCAAAAAATTCTACTCTATGTTAGAACATTTCTGTGAATGACTTTATCACACTAATTTCTACTCTACCTTCCCAGTTTTTAGGTGCTGCATGAAAACCATTCTGTTATGTCCAACCGGTTTTTTGTTCCTAGAATCGCTTTGGACCGAAAACCCGTTTGGTAACGCAATTTCATTTTTCTATTTCCGGACAAGTTTGCTTCCAAAACGGATTTCAAACCGAAAAATGAGAACAAAAAAAAAGTTGGTTTTTCATTTCTGGAACAAAAGTGAGAACCATTTATGAGGAATTCATTTTCTTCAACACACATATTCATATGGAAGTCACGATTTTTTAGGTGAGAAAAAAAAGCAAAAAATCAAAAATTTCAAAACTTAACAGAATGGTTTAGAATTTTTGGCTACCCACTTTCAGTGAAATTTAAATTTTTTTAGGTACCGAAAAAAATAAATAAAAATAAAAATTTCAAAATTTCACAAAATGGCTTAGAAAACCTATGGCCACCCACTTTGAGCAAAATTTAATTTTTTAGTTGCCAAAAAAAAAATTCTAAAATTTAAAAACTTCACAGAATATCTTAGAATACCGTGACCACCAATTTAACGAAATTTTATTTTTTAGGTGCGAAAAAAAAAAAAAAACAAAAATCAAAAATTTCAAAACTTCATAGAATGGCTTAGAATACTTATGGCCATCCACTTTGAGTGAAATTTAAATTATTTTAGGTGCCGAAAAAAATAAAAAAAATAAAAAATTTCAAAACTTCTCAAAATAGCTTAAAATACCCGTGGCCACCCACTTTGAGTGAAATTTAAAATTTTTTATATGCCAAAAAAAATAAAAATAAACAAAAAAGTTAAAATTTCAAAACTTTACAGAATGGCTTAAAATACCTGTGGCCATCCACTTTGAGCGAAATTTTATTTTTTTAGGTGCCAAAATTTTTTTTTTTTTCAAAACTTCGCAAAATGGCTTAAAATACCTGTGGCCATCCACTTTAAGCAAAATTTAAATTTTTTTAGGTGCCGAAAAATATAAAAAAATAAAAAATAAAAAACTTCACATAATTGCTTAGAATACCTGTGGCCACCCACTTTGAATGCAATTTAATTTTTTTTAGGTGTCGAAAAAAAATAAAAATAAGAAAAAACGAAAAATTTTCAAAACTTCATAGAGTGGCTTAGAATACATGTGGCCATCCACTTTGAGTGAAATTTAATTTTCTTTAGGAATCAAAAAAAATAAAAAAAAAATAAAAAATACCATTTGGGCATCAAAAAAAAATTAAATTTTAATCAAAGTGGGTGGCTAGAGGTATTGTAAGTCATTCTGTGAAGTTTTGAAATTTTTGATTTTTTATGTTTTTTTCCACCTAAAAAAATTTAAATTTCACTCAAAGTGGATGGCCACATGTATTCTAAGTCATTCTGTGAAGTTTTGAAATTTTTGATTTTTTGCTTTTTTTTCACCTCCAAAAATTAAAATTTCACTCAAAGTGGGTGGCCACAGGTATTCTAAGCCATTCTGTAAAGTTTTGAAATTTTTGAGTTTTTGAATTTTTTTGGGCACCTTAAAAAATTTAAAATTCACTCAAAGTGGGTGGCCACATGTATTCTAAACTATTATGTGAAGTTTTGAAATTTTTGATTTTTTGATTTTTTTTGGGCACCTAAAAAAATTTAAATTTCACTAAAAGTGGGTGGTCACAGGTATTCTAAGCAATTCTGTGAAGTTTTGAAATTTTTGATTTCTTGATTTTTTTTGAAAAAATTCAACAAATTTCCTATTTTCTTGAAATCTAATTTTTTTTATTTTCTCGACATTTTGATGATTTTTTCTGGAATTTTTCAATTTTTTGGGATTTTCTGAATTTTTTTAAAGATTTTTATGAATTTTTCGGATTTTTTATTATTTTTATTCCATTTCTAAAAAAATGGAATTTTGTTCCTGGAAATAGAATTTTCTGTTGTTTATTAAACGGGTTTTTATTTCAGGAAATAAAAATTTTGTGCTGTTATCAAACGGGTTTCTGTTCTAGAAATAGAAATTTTTTGTCATTATCAAACGGGTTTTTTTTCTCAGAAACTCATCCAGAAATCAGAAATAGAAAAATCTATTTCTGGTTAAAGAACTCGTTCCGGAACAGAATGGTTATCATTCGCTACCTTAGTGTCTTTGAACACGATGAACATTAAAAAAAAATGAACTAACCAAACATAATGCTGTTTAGTATTTTTATTTCGGTAAACAACAAAAACACTTCTTCGTGCACTGGTTTTTCATTGGTTGCTTACGTGGCGTTCTTTCTTATTCCTGGATCCATCGCTTGACTGATTGGGATCTACCTTTTGATTAGTCTGTGAAATTGATCTGCAAAAGAGATCCGACGAAGACTTGTTAGATATTTAAATAAGAAGCACTTATTTACATACTCATTTTTGTCGATCTCGTAGCATAACAATAATATATTCTGATTATGTTATTCGTTCATAAGATCAAAGTTTCTTACATGGGAACAATTCACTAGGCTGCGTTTGGATTAACATTATTTAGGATGATCAGATTGAAATTAGCTGGCAATTACATAATAAGTTGACTCCCTCCAAAAATGTTTTGACCTCGCGTTCCCACCCGATTACTTTGTAGATGGTCGGTCAACATGCAAGGAAAATACATTCGTCACCTTTTCTCAATTCAAACTGTTCGACTTTGTGGCAGCGATGGGCATCTAAGCAAGTCGGTTGTTGAAGAGGTTGTGAAAAGACTCGAGACAAGACAAAGAATAGTGATCGAAAATCGAGTCGGAATGGAGGATCAAATAGCAGCCATAAACAATTTATTAGGCATCGACTCCGGAGGTGTGCGGCTTATTGGAATTTGTGGGAGGGAGGGCATTGGTAAAACAACACTTGCCAAAATAATCTTCAACCAATTATGTCCTCGCTTTGCGAAATACTGCAACTTTCTTGATGACGTAAGGGAAAAGGCAAAAACCAAGGGCTTAGTCAAGTTGCAAAAATAATTATTGTCCGATGTCTCTAATTCTAGAGTGCCTCGCAACATTGTTAACAGTGATGATGGGATCAAAGCGATTGAAGAAACAATTTGCAACAAGGAGGTTCCAAATGTGTTGGATGATGTTGATAAATGCAATCAAATCCAAAATCTAGTCGGAGTGAATTCTTTGTATCCTGGTACTAGGATACTTGTTACCACTAGCGACAAAAGCGTTTTGAATATCAGAGGATTTAAGTATACAATCAAGCATTACGAAAATGGAGGGGTTGAGTGACGAAGATGCACTTCAACATTTTAGTTGGCATGCCTTCGGTGACAACTCTCCTCCAGCAGATTACTACTCCCTTTCAAAAGATATCGTCTTTGCTCTGGGTGGACTACCTTATGCTCTTCAAGAAAAAGGTTCATTGCTTTATGGTAAGAAAGACAAAAAAAAAATGTGGGAAGACATGGGTATGAACTCTGATGTTGCTGCATCTGCAGCAGACGGGGAGAGGGCAGAGGCTAAGTTTAGGCACGTAGAGGAGGCAAGGGAAAGAGAGAGTAGTAAGGCGCCCCGTTTGGTTTAGCATTTGAAATGAGCATTGGGGCTCTAAAGTCCTTTGGCCAAATATAAATGCGTTTGGCAATTTTTTTAGAGCACTTTGGGAAAATGCGATTACATTTCCAAAAGACTCTAAAGGCCTTTAACTCAAGGCATATCCGGAGGTACTTTAGCAAGTTTCATTTTCGAAATGCAAATTTACTGTTCATCGCACTATTCATAGCACTGTTCATCATCTTCCCCAAGCAGCAAGTTTGGCGCCCGGCGACCGCCGCCTGAGGGCTAGCATGAACCCGGCGACCGCCACCTGGGGGCCGAGCAACCCCGGCGATCGCCTCCTAGGGTAGGCGAACCTCAAGCGTCGCCTGGGTCACGTGACCCCTAGGTGACCGCCGCTTGAGGTCGCGGTCACCTGGGGGTCGTGCGACCCAGGCGATGCTTGAGGTCACGCGACCTCAGGCCACTTTGCCTGAGGTCAGGGGAGGCTGGTCGGTGACCAGAACTGGTCGGCGGCAGTGGTCGTTGGCTGAGCTCCACCTCAAGCTTTTTTTTTTTTTAAATATCAGTAAAAGTCATTTACAAAATATAATTTTTACCAAAAGGTATTTAGGCTAAATTTGCTTTGAAATGTAATTTTAAAATACACTTACCAAATATTACTTGCATTTCGGAAAAACCCTTTATCCCAAAGACCTTTGCATTTTGCCAAAGGCATTTCCCTAATGTCGAACCAAACGAGCCCTAAGATTGCTAGATGTAGAAGCACTGTGCATGTCGAGAAGGACGGGGTTTTCTGGATGCTCATGAGAGAGCTATCCGAGAAAAGCAAGAGAAGTTAGATCGCAAGAGGGGGAGAAGGAAGAGGAAGAGAGAGAGCGAAGGAGACTTGAGGAAGAGAGAGAGAGAGAGAAGAAAAAGAGAGGGACCAAAGGAGACTTGAAAAGGAGAGGGAGAGAAGGGAGATTGAGAGGGAAAAGGCTACTAGGGAGGCACGTGAGAGAGCAGCCGTTGAGGCACGTGACAGAGCAGCTATGGAGGCTCGCCAGAAAGCTGAAAGGGCTGCTATCGAGAAAGCGAATGCGGAAGCTCGAGAGGGTGCGGAAAGGGTAGCAGTGCTAAGAGCACAAGCTAAAGCCTGTGAAAGAGCAGCTGCAGATGCAAGGGAAAGAGCTGAGAAGGCTGCTGCAGAAGCAAGGGATAGGGAAGCACGGGGAAGAGCTACTGAAGCACGGATGAAAGCAGAATGGGCTGCTGTGGAGAGAGCTGCTGTAGAGGCTCGAGAAAGGGCTGCTGCATAGGCTCGAACGACTTGAATAATCGCTTTGGGTGTGTGAGTTGTTAACGCGTATGAGTTGTTTTGTTAGCATTTAAGCGACGTTTAGCCGATTTGAAGCTATATTATTTTACTTGGTTTTGACATCGATTCTCTTTTAATTGTTAGGATTATGAGATCTTCGGCTCGTGTAGCTACGTGTTGTTTGATTTTAGGCATTCTAAGTGAGTGGCGCTATCTCTTCTTTGGCTTGGTAAAACTCATGCCTTGAAGTAATAGTGATTTGATATATAATATTTATTGAACTTAAAAGAGTATTTTTGTTGTATAAAGCGGGATCGAGTATTCACTACTTTTCGGCTATTTGAGAATGATTTGAGAAACATATTATGAAATGTGCCGTGACAGTTTACGTACATGTATTGCTTTATGAGCATGATTTATAAAATGGATTATGAAATGGTTACAGAAACGTATTGTGATTTATGAAATGGATTATGAAATGGTTTGAGAAACATATTGTAATTTATGAAATGGTTAATGGATTTATGACGGGGTATTGGGTATGCATACCAATATAGGATATCCTTCTATGCCGAGCCATATGCTTTGTAGGTGGAGACCTTACCAAAGAGGGAATCTTGGTCGCCTTGTTACAAAGCGTTGTATTGTGACCATAGCAGTAATTGAGCAATAAGTTAGTCAATGGAATGGATCATTGATGTGGTTTTTATAGAGATTGATCAATGGACTTAACCATTGATATTTGAATTGTGATGGTGGATTTAAAAGAGTATTTTTGACTTGTACAAAGCTTTGTTGAAATGAAACAACTCTTATGTGATTCGATATGTATTTTATACCTTGAGTTTGGCTTCTGAAATTTTGGTATTGCTTTGTATACATGTATAGTGATTACTCGATTTGCTTAGAAGAGATGTATTACTCACTGAGCTGTAGTTGCTCACCCCTGTCATTTCTAATCTTTTCAGGTTCCTCGGTTAGTGGCTATAGAGCGAGAGCGATTTCAACAGGGACTTCGGGAGTTGGTTCTTTGGTTGTGTTTGAGGTTGCGTCCTTCGAGTGGAAGAACGGCTGTGTCACTCCCCCATTTTGGTAGGTATCGAGGTGTGACAATTAGAGAGAGAGGGGGGCAGGGGGGTTGACCTTGCTAAGTGCGAAGTGAGCTCGTATGGCGTTATCAAAGATAGGAACGAGCACCAGCAATCCATTGGGAGAGGAGTACGAGGTGTTTCTGAATTTTAGAGGGTACGATACTCGACTTGGATTCGTCGACACCCTCTACAACGCCTTGATTGATGCCGGGATTCGCGTTTTCCACGATAACTCAGAAATCCCATGGGGCAAAAGAATTAGTAACAACCTTCTGCGAGCAATCGATGACTCTAGGCTCTACATAATCATTTTCTCCCGAAACTACGCTTCGAGTTACTCGTGCCTCTGCGAGCTTGCAAGGATGGTGCAGAACACCTCTAATTCTAGAGAAGATGGGAATGAGAAAGTGATATTGCCCATTTTTTATTATGTGAAATCTGATGATGTGAAGCTGAGAACCCCATTGTACAGTGACGACATTATGGATTTGGAGCAAAGGATGGATCAGGAGTTCAGCTCCAAGGTTGCAGAGACGTGGCGGCAGGCTCTCCAAGAAGTTGGTGGCATCAGAGGGTTAAAATCGCGGGATTATAGAGGGTAACCATTTAACTGTGCATGTGAAAATTGTTTTTTACAATCGAAAGCTAGATCTAATAAGAATTCATTGATCATATTCCAACTCCAATTTCCCTTAATTGAAATAAAAAGACTCAAGTTTTGTTTTTTTAATTTTTTATATCATGAGATATCCATTTTTTTTTTCTGACCTAATCGAATCATTATGATTTCGTTTTTGACCTAATTTTCATCGTATAAAAATTTGGTTTTGTTTCATCTTTTTTACACTAACTCGATCCATGTTTATGTTAAGATTCCTAATGTATGCCAGAGAACTTGATTATGGAACTGAATGCAATCGCATTTGTAAAGTTCTTTTCCACGACAAAAGAAATAGGTAAATTTAATATTTTGGAGATTTACGGCCAAAATTATCCGAAATTACTAAATTATCAAGTTGTTAAAAGGTTTAGGACCAGATTGACAAATCGTCAAAAGGTTTATGATTAAATTGTCACAATTGAAAGATTTAAGATTGAATTGGCCGCCGTACAACAGGTTCAAGACTGAATTGCCAAAGGTTTAGGATCGAATTGGCCGTCATACAATAAGATTAGGACTTTTAGGACAATTTTCCCCTTAAATTCTTTTTTTAACTGAAATAATAATGTAGTGATTAAATTTTTAGTGTCTTTGAACATTTTGAACATTCAAAAAATGAACTTACCAAACATAATGCTGTTTAGTATTTTTATTTAGGTAAACAACAAAAACACTTCTTTGTACACTGGTTTTTCATTGGTTGCTTACGTGGCGTTCTTTCTTATTCCTGGATCCATCACTTGACTGATTAGGATCTACCTTTTGATTAGTCTGTGAAATTGATCTACAAAAGAGATCCGACGAAGACGAGTTAGATATTTAAATAAGAAGCACTTATTTATGTACTCATTTTTGTCGATCTCGTAGCATAACAATAATATATTCTGATTATGTTATTCATTCATAAGATCAAAGTTTCTTACATGGGAACAATTCACTAGGTTGTGTTTGGATTAACATTATTTAGGATGATCAGATTGAAATTAGCTGGCAATCACATAATAAGTTGACTCCCTCCAAAAATGTTTTGACCTCGCGTTCCCACCCGATTACTTAGTAGATGGTCGGTCAACATGCAAGGAAAATACATTTGTTACCTATTCTCAATTCAAACTGTTCAACTTTGTGGCAGCGATGGGCATCTAAGCAAGTCGGTTGTTGAAGAGGTTGTGAAAATACTCAAGACAAGACAAAGAATAGTGGCCAAAAATCTAGTCGGAACGGAGGATCCAAGAGCAGCCATAAACAATTTATTAGGCATTGACTCCGGAGGTGTGCGGCTTATTGGAATTTGCGGGAGGGAGGGCAGTGGTAAAACAACACTTGCCAAGATTACCTTCAATCAACACTGTCCTCGCTATGGAAAATGGTGCTGCTTTCTTGATAATGTAAAGGAAACGCCAATAGTCAAGCTGCAAGAACAACTCTTGTCCAATATCTCTAATTCTGGAGTGGCTAGCGACATTCGCAATATTGATCAAGGGATCAACAGGATTGGTGGCACAATTCGCAACAAGGAGGTTCTAATTGTGTTGGATGATGTTGATAAGGCCGACCAAATCCGAAATCTAGTTGGAGGGATTTCTTTGTGTCCTGGTACTAGGATACTTGTTACCGCTAGGGACAAAAGCGTTCTATGTAACACTGGATTTAAGTATGCAATAGGGCATTACGAAATGGAGGAGTTGAGCAACGAAGATGCACTTCAACTTTTTATTAGGCATGCCTTCGGTGACAACTCTCCTTCAGCCGATGACTATGTTCTTGCAAAAGAAGTCGTCCTTAATGTGGGTGGACTACCTTCAGCTCTTGAAGCAGCAGCTTCATCGGTTTTTGGTACGGAAGACAAAAAAATACGGGAAGAAATGGGTACGAACTCTGATGCTGCTGCATGTGCGGCAGACAGGGAGAGGGCAGAGGCTGAGTTTAGGCATGCAAAGGAGGTAAAGGAAAGAGAGAGTAGTAAGATTGCTAGAAGTAGAGAAACCGTGCATCTTGAGAAGGACGAGGATTTTCCGGATGCTCACAAGAGAGCTATCCGGCAAAAGCAAGAGAAGGTAGATCGCGAGAGGCTGCAGGGGGAGAAGGAAGAGGAAGAGAGGGAGGGAAGGAGACTTGAGGAAGAGAGAGAGAGAGAAGAAAAAGAGAGGGAACAAAGGAGATTTGAAAAGGAAAGGGAGAGAAGGGAGATTGAGAGGGAAAAGGCTACTAGGGAGGCACGTGAGAGAGAAGCCGCTGAGGCACTTTACAGAGCAGCTATGGAGGCTTGCCAGAAAGCCGAAAGGGCTGCTGTTGAGAAAGCGCATGCTGAAGCTGGAGAGCGTGCGGAAAGGGCAGCAGTGCTGAGAGCACAAGCTGAAGCCCGTGAAGGAGCTGCTGCAGAAGCAAGGGATAGGGAAGCACCGGGGAGGGCTGCTGAACCACGGATGAAAGCAGAACGAGCTCCTAGGGAGGCAAATGAGAGAGCGGCTATGGCGACTTGCGTGAGAGCTGAAACGGCTGCTGTAATGATTGCTGAACGTCGAGACTGGCCGCAAAGGGAAGCAGCGGTGAGAGCACATGCTGAAATCGGCAAAAAAGTAGCTGCAGAGGCGAAGAAGCGAGGGCTAGGGAAGGACGGGGAGGGATACTAAAGTACGGATGAAAGCAGAACGAGTTTACGTACTCATTTTTGTCGATCTCGGAGCATAACAATAATATATTCTGATTATGTTATTCGTTCATAAGATCAAAGTTTCTTACATGGGAACAATTCACTAGGCTGCGTTTGGATTAACATTATTTAGGATGATTAGATTGAAATTAGCTGGCAATTACATAATAAGTTGACTCCCTCCAAAAATGTTTTGACCTCGCGTTCCCACCCGATTACTTAGTAGATGGTCGGTCAACATGCAAGGAAAATACATTTGTTACCTTTTCTCAATTCAAACTGTTCAACTTTGTGGCAGCGATGGGCATCTAAGCAAGTCGGTTGTTGAAGAGGTTGTGAAAATACTCGAGACAAGACGAAGAATAGTGACCAAAAATCTAGTTGGAATGGAGGATCGAAGAGCAGCCATAAACAATTTATTAGACATCGACTCCGAAGGTGTGCGGCTTATTGGAATTTACGGGAGGGAGGACATTGGTAAAACAACACTTGCCAAGATTATCTTCAATCAACACTGTTCTCGCTTTGGAAAATATTGCTGCTTTCTTGATGATGTAAAGGAAACGGCAATAGTCAAGCTGCAAGAACAACTCTTGTCCAATATCTCTAATTCTG